GCACAAGAAGTGAGTTATGTTTTTCTCCACCAAAATTTCTGTTTGAGTATGGAATTCAAACAGAAGGATTGACAGATTGACAGGAGAAAAAAAAATAAAAGGCTTCCATTAATGATAATTTTAAAGAGTGTTGTGGTTCAAGTGTGCTCCAAGCTCCACCAGGAGGAGTCACCCCAATTCCTGTGCTGTTCACAACTCCCACCATAGAGCACAGAACACAAAAATGGTGGAAAAAGAAGCGTTACAAGCAGATGTGTTTTGTTTCTACACGAATGAACAACTCTAGCAGCAAAGCACCATAATCCAAACATGACTTCTAGCAGCACATATTTATACATTCCTTTCATATTCATACTRCTTTCACTGAATAACAGCTAAGCCTGCTCTTTATTTCCTAATAAAAACTAATTCTCCTGAAGGCACATTGTTATTGCTCTGACTCTYAAAAGTTTGGCTTTTTTATTTCCTTGTGCTCATTCTAACACTTCTATTTCTATTGTGAATAACCTCATAAGCGTTTGTTACTCACCTTTTCCATGCAATTTATGATTTCAGAGTGCCATCATACAGAAACCTGTCTATAAGTGTTATTTCAAGCAGCATCAGTCAACCTGTCCTCAGACCAAAACCTTTCCCTTACTCTTGATCAGCCTGTCAAGCTTTTTTGCTTTCTTGTATATGATCTRTATAGAGTATTCAAGATGTGGGAGTGATATGGATTTATTCAGCATCACAGTTCAGTACCTGCACTGCTTTATCCTTTCCCAATCATTTCCACCAATCTATTTTCCTTTTGATCACAACAACCCACAGAACTGGCATTTTCCCCAGCTGGACAGCCTTTTTCATGATTTAATTGATTTCCACTGCTGATTGCTCGTCAATCTATTTCTCTCACAGATACACACATGTCACTGTTGTCACGTTATTTCTTGACTGCTCCCTAAAACTTTATTTAAACAAAATGTTTATTTTCCTTGAGCAGTAACCCTTAAAATTAACCTGCTCAGACATCCCATCACCAGCTGACAGATGACCATTTACTCTGACAATCTCTCAACATGCATTTCCTACAACCAACTTATTCCCTGTATTAACTTCATACCAAAGTTGCCCCTTTGTAAAACCAAATTTTAGTGAGACAAGGTTTGATCTCATACTCTAAAGGTGCACTACGCCTTCAAATATCTGCACTGCAGTAACATCAAAGTTGCTTTCAAATTGCTGATGATCAATTCTAACTCATATTTAAAACCAGTTTCAGATTTAATCTTCTACTCACTGTCAATACTTTCAATAGAATTGCTTTTCCCAAGGCTAAAGTAGTCAGTCAAGTTGAATCTTTATGTCTCCTGATTATATCTGATTATTTTTAGCAGTGATCATTGACATTTGCAGGTTAGGACTAATCAGATATGCAAGTTCTAAGTAAGTATTTTATTTCCTCTAACCACTCTGCTACATTTTTTAATCATTCATTTCAAAAATTAGTCAGGATGAAAAATTACACATTCACCACAAAACTAAATACAAAACAATATTCTTAGAAGAAAGCCAGCACTATTCTTGATAAAGCTCAGACAAATAGTAAATTCATGTTATAATACATATACCAAACTTTCTGCTAGCTTTGAGGAAAAAAGAATGTACACAAGATTGAGATAAAAATATCAAAGTAATAAAAATTTTCATATCTCCCTATCTTAAGCTGCATTTCTTTAAGAAGTTATTTAYTCTAAATAGCTGACCATCTGGGCCTCAACAGAATATTGTAACTAAACAATGCTATGAAGTTTAATGTTTTCATATTTTAATTACAAAACAGCCCAGTCATACTGATATACAATATATTCAACAGTTATTGTACTGTTTGTCCTGATCTTTAAATACAAACTTCATCTACAAAAATAAATATAATGCCACAGCCATGTTTGGTTTGTAATTTTAATTCAGATTAATACCTTGGAGAAATGGGAAAAAATGTGTGAGAAATTCACAGCTTTCTAAGTGTTTTCAAGCTGTGATCCTTCCATTGCTCTATATTTACCCCTCTTATCACTCTCCTCAGTAGTGCACTGTCCTCCTGGTACAGCTTCTCGTGACTAAAATAGACCTTCTTTGCAGCAAGTGGATTTTTAAATTAAAAAGTCTTCCTAGAAATCCTGAATTTGCCATTTTAACAGCATTCCTGACACATGGCTTTCATTCTGGAAGATGAGAGGGCCTCAAGCTCCTTTTCCTGAGAATATTGTGCATTAGGAGAGAAGCCTTCCACAATCCCCTGTGGTTTACTGACAGATGAACTTATCATGCACTGAAATCTCTCACTCCAACTTCATTACCTTAAATTAGCATCTGTCCTAGATTGACTGAAATACTGTGGCTTCAGGCTAAGAATTTATTTAGCTCTGCTCTACTTTACTTCAATCAAAATAACGTTCATGACATATATTAAAAACTAATAAACTTTCACCCACATAACTGACCCAGATGCAGATCTGTGGAGATGAAACTAAAACATGTTCATCCTTCTGTGCTCTATTCATACTGACAATCTGCAGTGTAAATCTAYTGYTAATTTTATTTTGGGATTCTAACCTGTGCGCTATTTTGTTTATTTATTGCAAAATAACTACAAATTAAAAAAGAATAACAAGTAATCAGGCAGTGTCATATTTTCTTTAACTCAAATAAAAAGGTACGGGAGATTTTGAGAAAGAAATTGCTTCTGCTGAAAGAAAATAATTCAGAGCAAACCCAGAAGGCCAATCATAAATCACAATCCGGAGTTTCCTACATCACAAAAGCTGCAATTATGCAACTTGATCCTTGAACTTCTTGATTTTGGCAAAAAACAACTGAAAACTCTTCTACAGCTTGTACTTGCCTGGGGGCCAAGGTATCTGTGACTGTGGAGTGCTGACTGATGTCTCCCTAGGCTACAGAACCCCTCCGAAAATGCTGCCTGGCCCCAGTCCAAACAGAAAAGAGTTGTGCTTTTCCTGACAGCAAGGAAAGGCAAACAGGAACTCTAGTGCTACTCGAAAAACACAAATAAGGGACACGGCTCCTCAAAACCCCAAGTTTGAAAGCTGACCAATTAAAGGAAAATTGCCAAAGAACCCTAAACAAACAAAAGCACTAAAAAAAACGCAAACAAAAAAATCCCAAAACAAACAAAAAACCCATAAAAACCCTCACAAACAAACAAAAAACCTAAACAACAAACCAACAAAAACCTCACCTAAAAAAAACCAAACTAACAAACAAGACACAAAAACCCCCACACTAATTGAAAGKTGTGTGCAGAGATACATATTTACTCCATCCATATTTTAACAGCCTGGGCACACATACAATCTTAAGTTGAAGTCAGACGGCTTTTTCGAATAAAACCTCACCTTAAAAAGTAAATTCTGAAGAATAAAAGGAATGAGTGGCTTATTTCATAAAGTGATGAAGTCCAAGAGACTTGACATCCACTGRTAAACAGTAACATTCTCCTTCAATATACATTAATCACTATTATTTAAAATAAAACTAGCGGAAAAATGTATCCTGACAATATATGTCACATATTGTGAAATAGATGAGAGGTCACAGTTGTCACCATGCTTGGACACATTAACAGTGAATTGCACTCATTGCCTTTCCTTTTTTCTATGTGCTATTAGAGAGCATTCTTCAAATCTTTGGCCTTCCAGTGTGCAGAGAGAATTTTACTTGCTGGTACTCCTTTACATTGAAGCTACAGCCATTATTTTGAGTATATAACTAATACACCTACAATACATCTACAAAGTTATCCAAAACCATAGGGATCTCATATTTTCAAATCARGGTTGCTCAGAATCCACTAACATAAAAGTCTAAGTGTCTTACCGAGCACTACAAACCCTGGATGAGAAGGAAAACATAATGCTATTTCTCAGCATTAAAAAAAAAACAAAACCCAAACAGAAAGTATACATGAGATGAATTCTAAAGTCGTTCGTGTTAACATCAACTTCTTGCCAGAAAAGCTGAAATTTATCCAGAGAACATGGAACATTCTGTAACTAATTTGTGGTCATCCTCCAGCAGTATTTTTTACTTYTCTATTTTTATGCATAAAATAATCACAAAATAGTCCTTTGTTATATCTGACAATAAATAATACACATTGCTTTTTGTTCAGCATTCCTATCTTGCATGTTACATTCTAAGCTATATATATATTAATTGTATATTAAATATTATATATAGATATATGTGCACTCCATAAAAACTTCTTCCACATGGGTCGTGTGCACCTGACTTCATCTAGGACTGAATACAACAGTTCAAGGCAAATTCATATACAGATWTTTATATACTAAAGAATATGGATTCCTCTCCCTCCCCAAGAGAAGAATAATTAATTATTCTACAAATAATACAGATATTTCTGTACAAAAAGAATACTTATTTCCCCCCTTAGAGGAACAGTAATAAATTATTCTGCAAATATTTACCTTGTGGCTGACGACTTGGATGATAAATCTGGAGATCAAATGGCTGAGCGCTTGTTTTTTGTATTACACTGACATTTTGGCCAGTCCATTTATTGGCTTTGGCGAGGGTATTGGTCCTCCAATCTGTCCAATAAACTTCACTCCCATACAAAGAAACAGCAAAAGGGTGAGAAAGATATTCGTGACCCCGTATAATCTCTATCATGCTGGTTCCATCATACAATGCRGAATAAATGGCATCCGATCTACAAGACAACCCCAAATTTGAGATAATGTAAAAATAAAATAAAAAAAAAAATCACACAATCATTTTATGACATTGGTCAAAATGTGTAAAAACCTTACTCTGTAAGAGTGGTAAGACCAAACAATTTTTGCAATTAACTTCAGAAAAGTTTAAGTTCATATTATTAATTTAACTAGACATATGAAATACTATGGTTTAACATACATATGAATACTATGGTTTTCTTGTATAATGTTTTAATTTACCTCCATACTGTGAATAGTACAATAGGAAAAGTGATTTTATTTCAGACGAATTTAGAGGAAAAATAGTGAACTTGGGCCTTCCATGGATGAGGGTTGGGAGGACTTTTGGGAGCTGCTCTCTAAGGCACAAGGAGCCAGGAGCTGGCAGGGCGATTAAAATCATTTACATTTTGGACATGTGCCTCTCCAGTGCTCTTTATAGCCATAATATCATAACTTTTATATGGAGGAATAAGGATTTATCCACAAGGATGCTGTCCCCACTTTACCTGGCRTCTGTCCACACTATTCTTTTCTCAAAGTGATCCACGGTCAGGCCGTTGGGCCAGGCTCCCGTGTCCATGTCCTTGTAGATGATCTTCCTCTCCGCCCCACTCATGGAAGCGGATTCGATGCGAGGGAAATTTGCATCCCAGTCGGTCCARAACAGAATGCTGGTGAGAGGAAAAGAAAAGGGAGAGAAGAAAAGATTAAGGCATGAAGAATAATCTGAAATGCTTTTATTATGCAGCAGTTGGAAAAAAAAAGGTTCAAACATTCACATGCTTTAAATGAAAGGATTAAACATAGATCAATTTGGGAAAYTGTATAAATTCTGTGAAGTAATAGGGTAACATGGAGGTGATATTTCATTACTGGTATTAGAGCCATCATGAAAATAAAGAAATTTTTTAGGAACTAGGGGTTTAATAGCATTCCTTTTTTCATGTCCATTTATACAGTAGCAGCTTGYCTTGTCTTCCCTCTATAATTAGAAACCCAGCTCATTAAAGAAAAAAATATAATGAGAGTTTTTTGAAAGCAATCCACAGATGAGAAGAATGGGGAGGGAAGAATAGGAAGAAAGGTGATTTGAGGTAGCAGGGATCAAGGAACAGCCTAAACCAGAGATTTTCAGCTGCTATTAAGAGTGTTCTAGTGAAGACCCCTGGATTTTAGTAAGACACTAACGAATTTTATACAAATTAGACTTGCTAAGAAAACTTCAAAGACGTGTTGTATTGCCATCTCTCTCAGCTTTGTACTACCTCCAATGTTCTTCCAGTAAGGAGAACTTTCATCTGCATAACCAAAGAAGTATCTTGTTAAATAACAGAAGCAGCATCACCAAGAAGACACAAATTCACTCTAACTGTTCTTAGCTTACTGAATTTTTAACAACACATGGACTTGTTAAAGGAAAATAATACCTTTGATAGGAAAACTTGTGGTTCATAGTAAAGAGTTAATTGAAAAAAGCCAGACTACAGCCAAAGTTTTGACAAGTTTTCTTATTTCCCACTAAAATACCTTCAACTTTAAGAGTCAGGGAGGTTTTATGGGATGAGCCCACTGGTGCTGAGTTTCTGTTTGTGCAGACCTGTTCAGGTATGTGTGTATCTAGAGATGTTTATTTTGCACACATTTGTACATGTGTGGACTGAGAAAACCTTCTCAGCCCCACTGCAGGCTGGAATGCAGCTCTGACAGCTTTGCCTCCATTGGGATACAGGATTTGTGCAGTCCTAACACAACCCTTTTCCTTGAATCACCAGTGTTTATCCATATTTATTTGTGGAAGGATTGAGGAGCTATTCCTGTCTACATTTAAAGATTTTTTTTTCTTTCCTGACATCAAACACAATGCAGCATCAATTGCTTCTAGCTCTTCAAAAGGCAGATTAAGCCTTCAGTTTCAGGAAGAGTGGGGATTTKATTTTTTTTTTTTTCCCTCCCAACCATTTAATTTGAACAACTTCTCTGCCAATTTTTCTGTCAACAGGATGCCTCTTTTTAAAGATCTTTATAGATAAGCGATGCACTCTGTAAATAAGCTTCCTAGCATCTCAGTTGAGAGGGCAGTAGCTTTAATCACTAAAATATGTACATTCTAATTCACAATTTAGGATCACAGAATCTGGGATTTTGATCAATTTTTATTTTTATGCTCACAGCTTTGCTTCTGAGAGAAATACTCAGTGAAGACACATGACAGATCATAGCAAATTCCTAAACAAAATATAATTACTTTGTAAACTTGTAATTTGTATTATTTTTGGCTACATTTAATTTGTGGTGGGTGTTTTTTTGCTTTTGTTGGGGTTTTTTGTTTGTGGGTGGGATTGTTTTGTTTTGGGGTTCTTTTTTTTTGTTGATTGTTTGGTTTGTTTTCCTCTCTGAAAGCACAATAATTATGGGAAGAGAATGCAGCTATTGACTATTACCTGCTATTTTGGTTTATAGAATACCCCTAATGAATAGGTAGAAAAAAATACTGACAGAAGCTGGCAAGCATTATCTCCACTTTAGAGATGAAAAACAGACACCAAAGGTGTGATTTACCTCACCCAGCCATTTGCTTCCAGTAGCATCTAAAATGTATTTTTACAGGCCCACCAAAAACACACACACACACAAAAATAAGGTCTCTAAGTGAGAAGAATCACCTGGGCAACATCTAAATCTGTCCATTAACCACACAGAAAGGTTTGAGCAAAGGCTCCAGTTATTGTTTTCCACATTTTGAAAAAAAAATAAATGAAAGAACMGCATGGCAAGGTAAGTAATTTGCCAACAAACAGATCCCTGTATSTCTTGATTTGCCATTTTAAATCCTTTTCACTCAGAAAAAAACCCACACTAATAATGGATTATCACTCAAAACATACTTTCAAGGATTATTAAAGGTAAATTAGAAACTATAACCTACAGCCAAAAAAAAAAAATAAAAAAAATCTCACATTTAAACATCTAACTTTAAAATACTTTGAACAAAGAAAACCAATGTTTTTATAATATATAATTACCCATATCTAGGATCCAAAGCAATAGCCCTGGGGTGCTCCATAGCTCCAGCTATTAGTGTTGTCCTCAAGGTCCCATCTAGTTTTGCCACTTCAATTTGGTCCAAATTGCTGTCTATCCAGTAAATGTTTCCTGCAATCCAATCTACAGTTAGACCTTCAGGTGTGGCCAGGCCATGCTGTACCACAACCTCAATGGCACTCACACCTTAGAGAGAAGAAAAAAAAGAGAAGGAAGGAAACAAAAAAACAAAACAAAACAAAACAACAAAAAAAAAAAGCCATGCTGTACCACAACCTCAATGGCACTCACACCTTAGAGAGAAGAAAAAAAAGAGAAGGAAGGAAACAAAAAAACAAAACAAAACAAAACAACAAAAAAAAAAAAAAAAAAAAAAAAAAAAACCAAAAAGAAAAAAAAAAAAAAAAAAAGAGAGAGGACAAAAGATGGTTAAAGTGGTAAAGTGAACATGGACATACAAGTTATCAGGTGCTCTTGGAGTGAATTCTGAATTATTTGGAGTTTGTTTTTTTAGATTAAAGCACTGGAACCTACGCTTCCACAAAGAACATTTTGTAGGAACTCTTTTGTATATATTATGAGATTGCATTGAGTAATAGGCCATCATGATGACACCAGAGCAAAGAAAAAGTCTTTCTGGATGCTATAAAATTTTGAAGCAGAWTTTTTCACCTAAAGAGAGGAGATAAATTAACAGGCATCCGATAAAGTCTTATATTTTTTTTTAATAAGGTGAAGATAAACTGTAAAAAATGAAATAAATCAATATTGCACTCATTGGACCAGGAAGAAATACCAGCCCTTGGCATTTGCCATTTTCTTCAGCCTAAAGCACATTACAAAAGGAAACTTTGATAATACAAGCTTTTTCCTGGCTAGACATCGAGTACAACTCAGATATAGACCTTTTCAAAGGCAGAATGCATCATAAATTCTGTTTCTGGGCATGGCAGCTCACTTACGACTGACCAGGTCTATCACCCTGTAACTGCAGCAGTTCTTACTGTTAAGAAAATAAAGATTGAACTCATACCTCCAGTGTCAGAGAGCTTGCCTCTGTAAATTTTGTCCTCCACCACATCTGTCCAGTACAGCAAGCTCTGACTGAAATGAAAATCCAGGGCGATTGTATTTCTTAAACCAGGAACTAAGAGGCTGTAGTCACGCTTGTGGAGATCAATTTTTCTGATCTCGTGTCGAATAGAAAAAATTATGAAAGCCTCAAACGGATCTGGAAGCACAAGATTAAACATTTCAAAAGAATAATAAAAAATACATTGTTACAAATGGATATAAATGACAAGGGGAAGGTGAACAACAGAACACTTTATCAGGAGAAACAGATGATTAAAACAATTCATCTTTTGATAAGGAGTCTTTCAATTACTTTTTCAGTCCAACAGACTTCTTAATTCTCCCTTCTAGCATTATCTTTGATCCCAACTAGAGATATTACACATTAAATTTGGGAATATCACACTCAACTATTKAACTGTATTTTGTAGCTCTAGTACAATGAGCCCATAAATAGAGCTTTTAAAAGTCACATTATGAAATCTAAAATCTGCTTGTCAAAAGCTTTAGAAAAAAATAAACCATTAAAATATTCATTGTTTCAAAGGCAAATTAGCTGAAACGATTTACTAATATACTTTTTGAATATATGTRTTCTATGTACTTTTTGAATGCACAGTGTAACTTGTGTTTTCAACTGAAGGTCTTAAAAAAAGCCCTCATGCCAAACCAACCAAGCAAGAAAATGAACATTTTATGTGCTYATTGATACATGTCATCACAAATCTGGCTACCAATGACTTTCTCCTTCCACTTTTAATCAATTAATGTTACGTGATTTGTGCCAGTGAGTTTATATCAAAGTGAATAAAAACATGCTCTGCATTGGTCAACCATACTATGAAATTGATTTTTTTTTTTTAATTACAGTTCTTACATAGATTAGGAAAGGTTTTTCAAGCAAGTAGCTGTGTTAATAAAACAAAGGAAGACAACAATTGGATTCTATAAACTGGTGAATCAAACCAGTATATCCACTTTAATAAAGTTATTTTTTTAAAGCAATACTTTTTCGCGGGGAGGGAGTCGGGTTTTTCCCCCAGTTTTTTCTCCTAGAGTGAAACACAGATTATACTGGGAAGTTTGCTTTGCACAGAATTAACCCCCCCATTTGTATAACACACAGATTATTGACAGTTTAAAGCAATAGGCAATACCCCTGCTTCTCCACTAAAATAGAAGTTCAAGACCCCTGAGAGTCTCTGAAAAGAATCAGTTTATTTCTTGCTCATTCACGTGAATATTACACAGCCTGTTCACCTCCTCTTGCAGTCCCTCACCAGAGACACAGCTCCTTTTCTCCTGATTCCCACTGCCTAAATCTGGGATGTTTTACACTAATCAAGTACCTCAGCAGAGCTGTGTTTCTGCTCCTCAAGCACTTGTTCACATCCTGCCCTGAACTTTCCAAATGATCCTCCTGTTTGTTAAAGCAACGAATGACTTTGTGCAAAGCAAATTTTTCAAAGCTGTGCAGCGGTTAAATAATTTAGTGCAGAACAGGATCACTGCCGTTAGCAGCTATTCACAGGTACCAGTTACCTCAACTTGAGAGACACTTTCACAGCACTTCCCAAATTCTGATAAATTGGCAGCTTTTATGCAAGAGGCCTATGGGGTTTTGGCAATTCCAATGCATAAGGATTTTTTTTTTAATTTCCCAGTAATTAACAACACAACAGGAGAGAAAAAAAATAAAGTAATCAATGTGTGTTATGTTGGGTTGGGATCTTTTCATTCAAAGTACAAGAACTACTTATCTGAAGATAAGGATAATTTGCACCATAGATTACTTAAGAAAGAATTAAATGGGATCTTGATAGGATTTACCCTTGAAATAAATATGACAAAACCCTTCCCCTAAGTTTGGTTGACAACACCCTACAACACCCTCCTTTGAACACAGCTCCTAAAGAAGAGAGAATCAATACAGAAATGCAAGAGGAAACAAACAGGTGTTCCAAAAGTTCTAAAAATTATGGTCTGCAAGGGAAGAAGGAACAATTTGGAGCTGCTTAGTCTAAAAAAAAAATGGAATAGCATGAAATTCCCCCAAGACATGAAAGGCTTATGAATTGAAAATGGGAAAAATCCTGTTTTCTGTATAAATGACAAGTAGGCCAAGGATTAAAGGCTTAAACTGGACCAGGAAGACAGAAAGAGCAGAAAAACAAAAATCTTAAGGAGAGTGAGGCAACAAAACATCTCACCCCTGGGAAACTTGGAGTTTACCACTGAAGGAGTCTTGAAGGTCTCAGAAAGCAGAAAAAATGGCAGTTTTAGCCTGGCTTTGATCTTCCTTCCACACCCCGATCATTCAATGGCTCGATAAAATGAGCTACGTTAGAGTGAATTGGAATTTTCAGGTTGAATCAAGTAATTTTTTTTTTTTTTTTAATATGCTTTCATCACCTGATAAACCCAAAGTTTGGTGTCATTTTCCTGATTGCTCTTCTAGAAATTTAGAGCAAATACTTTTTATTCTGCAAGTTGATTACGAGCATTTTTGGAACATCTCAAATTAGTATAATGATTATTGACTACATTCTTTAGGACTTCTACATTCTTGAAGAAAACTAACTGTTAACAATTTATTAGAGAAAAATCCTACATTTCTGAACTTTCTGATATCATAAACTCATCAGAGTTTTTTTTACTAAAAAGGTTAGTGTATAAAATATAAGATGCAAAGTATTAACTGCACAAAAAGCTGTAAAAAAGCCCTCTAATAGAAAAAAAAAAAAAGCCTAAACAATGTGATTTAAAAAGACTGTATAAAGAATAATGCTTCATATTTTCCAATGGGTTAAATTTAAAATTCTTTCTTAGGAAAAAWTCTAACTGAAGCTTGTAGTTTGATTGAAGCTTACTCTAACAACAGCAGCACAGCAAGCAATCTACACTGTGCTTTTATGAAAATTACCTCAAAGAAAAAACATAACTTCATAAAGATTCTGAAGAAAACCTCCATTAAAAGTTTGACACTGCTCAGAGAGGATTGGACTACTCCCCMCTGCATTTTAGTATTGAAAGATATCTGGAAATTATAACAAAATTGAATTTCAAACCAACTAAGACAGATCAAACATAGAGACACATCATCCTCTTTTCCAAACACATACATATAGATATATGAACAGAGTTCCCACTGCTTAGAAAAGGCTGACATTCAATTTTAAACTAAGCTAAGTGTTTCTCAGTTCATCTAACATTTATTACAACAAAGTCTGAAAGGTTGAATGTAAACATGAAATTTAAATATCTTTTAAGAACAGTATTTTTTTCCCCCTGAATGGTTATTATCATTTAAAAGAGCAAGTGCAATATATCAGCACAACTTATTTTGAAATGTTTTCCAAGGGAAACCAGAACATGAGTATGAAAACATATAATTTGTATTGACTTTCTACTGGAATAATGGAGCTCTGTAACATATTCTTGGGGCAATCAATACAAATTTAAATGTAAAGGAAACATTTAGCGTTTGGGAAGTCAGTAATGTAACAATGCCAGAACAGCAAAAAGAAAATGAGATGAAAATGAGACATGGAAATTGAACAAACTCTGAAGGAAAAGAAAGACAACACTGAAAACCTTCAAGAAATGAAAATAACTTAAGTAGAAAAAAAGAGAAAACAGTGGAAACTGCGAAAGGCTTTGAAAGAGAATCTAGAAAGAGAAGAATTTCTCAGTTCAAGCATTTTAAGTCTATATACTCATTACTCTGTAATTAATTATATTTCTCTTGCAATTCATTAGAATCCTCTGACAAACACGTTTTGGTTCTGATATGCAATCAGCACAAAAAGCTAGAATTACGCAATTACTGCATTTTCAGCATTTCTATTCCCATTTTTATGGGCTCATAAATAAATCTTTTTACAATATTCCAAAAATGTGCTGCACACTAACTTTACATTCTATTGCTGTGTACTTGTGAAATGTTTCCTATGTACAGGAAAATGCTATTTCAGATAGAAAAGAAAAAAAAAAA